CACCTGGGAGAGACCGTTCTGACCACACTGTTAAAAATAGCTTCGCTTCCCTCTGATGGTACCTGCCTCTGCTCTCCCTGACCACCTCGGACACACCACAGAGTCCCGCTGTCTACTTGTCCATGTCTCCCTTCCTGCACTCTAAGTTCCATGAGGACCAGGCTGAGACTGAATCCCCGTGCATGCAACCATGCCTGGAATGTGCTAGGTGCTCAATAAATATTTGTTAAATAAACGGACAAATGAAGAATGAATGAATGAACGAATGAGATTTAGAATGCCCGTGTGCGCGTATCCACGTCACCTTCTAACATATTTTAACAGAAAAGACATTCTGACGTTGCCTTTCGTAGAAAGGAAGTTTAGCTCTGGTCTGTCCATGTCACAACTGGACACTGACCTGGGTTTGGACTCAGGTCTGCTGGACGCCAAGTCCAGTGCTCCTTTCAGAGGGTTTGAGTGGTGAGGGGCCCTGGCTACTAAAGGATGGGAGAAGCACCCACGGGGACTGGGGTACAGGTATGGAGAAGTGGGGGACCCGGATGTGCTCTTTGTCCCTCCCAGGTTCCTATAGGCCCCCAAAGGGAAAACAGCCCCACATGACCATCTGAGTTTTGGAGAGCCCAGTGTTCCTAGCGAGGGCTCTGTCTTACCGAGGTCCCCCCTTTCTCTACTCTGCACCATCCATCCCCCCATGCTTCCTGACGTTTGTGTTACTAACAGCCTATGTGTCAAAGGTAGGGGTGCTTCCCTTGGGGGTTCAGAGTTGCTGTTAGGAGCACCAGCTGTGGTCTCGAGCAGAGCTGGTGGGACCCCAGCTCTGTTATTCACACGGGTGAGCCCCTTAAATTCTCAGAGCCCCTTCCTGCCTCTGTAAAATGGGGATGACAATGCCTGCCTTGGAGGGCTCTCTGTGGGGTCACATGATTAACTGTGGGCTGACACTCAGCACTCAGTGCGGGGCACACGGCCCGTGTATGACGGAGAGTGGCCTTGATTATTAGCTGGGGGTTGGAAGAGCCCCCTCGGTGGTGGCAGTGCTGTACCGAGAGGGTGGCAGAGAAACCCTGTGCTTTGGTCTTCTGGCAGACCCAAAAGAGCGGAGCCTCTGCTTGGACAGGGTGGGGGTGTCTGGGCCTCACAACACTTAATTGATTGTAACATCACACCCTTAACATGCTCTCCTGCATAACCTGCACCCACAAGAAGGGCCTTGGCAATGCTTCCGTGACTGTGTATAATGCGTTCCTGGGGCCCAGCATGCAACTTTCAAATTGGCTTACAATTTATCTGCAGCTCGTGTAAAAACATTCTAATGACTGTGTGCGGCACGAACCCTCCGTGTCACCCACGGGGCTCCCAAATGCCTTCCCCCACCACATAGCGGGGATGTTATAGGCGTGAAATTACAGCCGCTCTCGCATTTTGATCTCCACCCCGAGGCCTCTGGAAACAGCGCGTTAGAATGTGCTGGATGCAGACTCGGTGATGGCAGACGGGGGTGCCCCGCTCTCCGGCAGAACTGCTCTGTGCTTTTGATGCACACGGGGCCCTGGGCCCCCCCTCTCCCCACGTCCTGGAAAGCTGCTCTTTGACTCTCAAATTGGACAGCCGCTATCCTGCCCACTGTTGTCTGCCACGGTCCTTAGGGTGCCTTCTGGCACAAAGGAGACCCCAGCTTTCAATGGCCTGCACTAGCTTGGAGGGAGGGTCTTTGTGTGTGCGTGCCTGATGAGCAAGGGTCTATGCAATGTCACAGACAGGCCAAAGTGGTGAACAGATTTTAATTTTTGAAACATGCCTTGACATATATTTGAAGGAGAGACATGGTACTGGCAGGGGGCAGGGGGGGTGGGGGACAATGTTTAACCTTTCTAATTGTGCCTGATTTTTAACTGATGTGATTACTGTTTGTTGATACCATAAGAGATAGTATTTATTGAGCATTCAGAATGAGCCTGAGCTCTGAACTTTCTACTCTGTGGATTAGCCCATTTAATCCCCGCAACCTCAGCCAGGTCACTTCCTTCTCTGAGCCTGGGTCTACCCAAGGGGCATAGTACAGCTCCTGTGTCACAGGTGATGTGGCTGCTGGATTACGGGAGATACTACATGGGAGACTTTCTCATACTCAGCCCCGCTGTCTCTCCCACCCTCCCCTCACCATCCTGGACCCTGGTGACCCATGGGAGCCACGCCGCCCTAGGACCGCGACAGCCATGGTGCTGTGGGGTCCAGAGTAAATCCTTTCCCTGAGCCTCAGTGTCCTCATCTGTGAATTGGGGATAATAGCAGTGCTGACCCTGAGGGACTGTTGTGAGGATCAGGTGAAATGCTTGATTGGAAGCACTTAAGAACTGGCATAAATAGGGTAAGTGGGAGGTGTTGCTGTCATTATCAAAGTGGGGTACAGCCCGGCTTCTCTCCTAGGCTCCCGGTACTAGGATAGGCTGATCTTCAGGGGGAAGCCAGGAGGAAGGGTAGGCAGAGGCCGGCTGCCCTGCCACTCCCAGAAATAGGGCAGAACTGAGCCCCTTTCCAGGGAGCCTGGGTGCACAAAGCTGCAAACACTCATTTCTCAGAATGGCTTAAAGATCGCTGGAGTCCTGAATCATGGATGAGGCTTCGAGCAGGGGCTGAAGTCAGGGGCACGAGGCAGCCGCAGCCATGCCCTACAGCAGGCAGGCCGGGGACAGCGATGGTGAAGGTGGTGAAGTCTGACCCACGGAAACTTTTGGCTGCCTCATGCTGAGCTGGGTGTTTTGTAAACTGTATCTAATTTAAACTTTACCATCACTCTGGGAGTTAGGCATCCTTATCTTTACTTTACAGATGAGGAAACCGAGGCCCAGGGAGGCTAATGATGTGGAATTCGGATCCAAACCTGTGTGTCCTCAACTTGTCGGCTGAAGGAATCGGGGCATTCTCCTGGGCCTGGGGTAAAGTGAGGTGAGGGAGGGAGAAATACATTGTATGTGGACCAGAGTATAGGTATAGATGTTGATATATGTATTGATATAGATATAATATACTTATATAGAGAATCAGTATATATATTTTTTAATACTTGCAGGCTTAGATCAGTTTTTTGAAAGTGTGGTTCCAACACTGAGCTGCCTGATTGTCATAGGAAGATTTTTGTCATCCTGGCTGTGTGACTTTAGGCAAGTTGGTTGCTTTCTCTGTGCCTCTATATCTGCATCTGCAAAATGGGGATGATAACACTCGTACCTCCTCTCGGATTGGTGGTGAGGACAAAATGATGTAACATGGAAAGCACAGGCCAGCCGCCTCTGAGGTGCCTTCCCTGAGTCCTCTCCCTAAACTAGCCACCACCACCTGCAGTTGCTTCTTATTCCATTACCTGCTTGATTTTCTTCCCGGTATTTATCACCATCCACAATCATCTCACTTATTCATCCATGCATGTGTGTCATGCTTGTCTCGTGCACCGGATGCAAACTTCCCAAGGACAAAGATGATGTCCTGTTGACTGTATGTGTCCATGACCTGGCACATAGTCGGTGCTCAATAAATATCCGATGAATAAATGCTTGCATACATGTTCCTCATTAGACTGGGAGCCCCTTGATGGGGCAAACTGAATTTGCTCCTTGGTCTGACCTGACCAGGGCCGGGCACTGAGAATGTTCCTTGCCCATGTTTTACAGGAGCCGATTGGTGAGTGGACCACTGCAATAGGGGAAGGTTTCCTGGTACCGTCACCTGCCCACCATGGCCCATCCCCCAGGAAGCCAAAACATACCATATACCACAGACTTCCGCGGCAGGAATGAATGTCCCTTTGGAGGCCTGGCCTTTGGAGGTTTTCAATTTCCCCCGAAGCAGCCCCTTTCAACAGGGCCTTTATGCTTTCATTGATTGCCCGAATACACAAGCTTTGTGTCCCTGATAAATATCATTTGATAAGAAAATCAGAGAACACTGGAGCCTGGAGTTGAGGCCAAGCCCCTTAGAATTCTGGTGGCAGAATCCAAGAGTGTGCCTGACGAGTACGTCAGCATTGAAGGGGCTTCGGAGACCCCTGGAAACAAGGCCTGTGTTTTTGCAAGTGGAGAAACTGAGGCTAAGGTGGGGGGCATAGTCAGACAAGCACAAGCATATCATCCCCATTTTGCAGATGTAGAAATGGAGGCACAGCAACAGAGTCAGAGCCCAGGAGTTTTGGACACTCAAACCAGCTCACTTTCTAACTCATCACTTGGTGCTTCAGTATCTCAAGAAAGGCCTTGAGAGGTCCAGGGAGGGGGCACGTGGCCGAGTTAGAATCATTCTCGCTGCGGCAGGTCACCTCCTGAGCATCCCGGCTGAGACGCTGTCTCAGGCCCTCCCCAGGGAGGCTCCTGGAGTGTCCTGCCGCGCTTGGAGCACCCGCCCACCCCCACTGCACTTTCCCCACTGGTTTCTATGGATGTGCCCCTTGGCTTCAGCCTGGGAAAGGCGTCCACACAGCTGCTCCCACAGTGCCCAGCACCCCACCGGGTCACAGAGCCTGGAACTAGGTGGTCCATGAATGACCCAGTAGGCCTGCATCCCACCCCCGTCTTACAGAAGGAGAAACTGAGGTCTAGAGACTGTGACTGCCTACTGCTGGTGGGAAGCTCTTACCACTCCTTCAGCCCCTCATCTGCTGCAATCAATGTGCTGGAGCCCCTCCAGAGCGCCCGGTCCATGAGGACCCAGGGATGAGGTGCGGCCCTGTCTTCATGAGGTCAGAGTCTCAGGGCAGGAGGAGCAGGGGGTCCTGAGAGGAAATCCTCAGGTGGCAAGTCCACACCAGTTACACCCCGACATGGCGGGCCTCCCTGCCCCTCGAGGGCAAGGGTGGGAAAGAAGGGGTCCACTGCCAGCACAACAGGCATTTTGGCAGGTGGTTCCCAGGACAGCCCCCCTGTGCACCCGTGCACGCATGAGCATGCGCACACATGCACGCCCGCAGCTCCTCACTGTGACGCCGGGGCCGGGAGCCATGCACTCACCCATGACGTTGAGGAAGATATTGCCTGATGCCAGGACCACCTTCTCTCTTGTGGCGCGGTCATAGATGCCCACGTGGCACTCGTAGGGACCGTTGTCGGAAACGCGGACCTCGGGCAGCCTGGGGGAGGCAGAGGAGCAGCGTGAGGGCACGTGATCTGGGGCTGGAAGGCGCGTGCACTCCTGGAACCACCCCAAAGCCCGCGGTCCCGCCTTCTCTCAGCTAACACTCCTGGATCGTCCACACGGCTGTGCGCTGTGCCCGGACGCGGGGCCACATTTATGGAACACCAACTGTATGCCAGGCCCTGTGCTCGACGCTTCAGAAGGCTGCCCTCCACATATGGGCCACTATTCCCATTTCATAAGCATGGAAACTGAAGCTCTAGAGGGGGTGTAATTGCCCCTCCCCCCATCAATATGGCTCATAAGAGTCAGGATGGGAATTTGAATGCTGCCTGCCATCACTTTATGCCCAGCCCTGGGCATAAAATTCTTGTCCCCGTCCCAGTGGACAAGGAAGCAGGGAAGCTGATTATCGCTCCAAATCACGCGGGAGAAGATGAGCTTAGCAGAGCACAGAGCGGGAGCAGCTGGTTCTACCTGAGGTAGTCAGGAGGGCCTCTCAGAGGAGGTGACCCATGAGGATGGGAGAGACCCCCTCAAACCTTCTTCTGCACGTTTCCTCTAAAGAACCAGAGAGTAAATATTTTATGCTTTGTTGCTTTCACAGTCTCTGTCACAACCGCTCAGCTCTGTCCTTGTCGAGCAAAAGCAGCCACAGACAGTGGGAAAGAAAACCAGAGTGTCTGTGTTCCAGTACAATTTTATTATAACCATTGAAATTTGAATTTCATATATTTTCTTGTGCCATGAAATCTTCTTCTGTTTCTAGTTTTGAACAATCGTTTTTAAAAAATGTCAAAAAACATTTTTAGTTCACAGGCTATTAGAAAAACTGGATTTGGCCCACAGGCTGTTGTCTGATAATTCATGTTCTAGACCCCTCTGCAGGGTCTATAGGGTCAAAACATGCTCAAAATGAGTTGATCCGTTGTTCTCTCTCCCTATGGAAAATGCCTACAGGGCAGCTCTTTCCTTACTCCTGCATCGAAGAGCCCTGACGTGGGGTCAGAGAGCATCAAGTTCAAATCCTGCCCCTGCTGCGCGTATGTTATGTGACCTTGTGCAAGTCATGTCATCTCTCTCTGAGCCTCCCTTTTCTTATCTAAAGTATGGGGCTGCTACTTCCCAGGACTGCGGTGAGGATTAAATAGGAGATGTCACTGCAAGACCTCGCGGTAAGCATGACAGTGGCATGAGGTGGATGAGACAGCATCGCCTATTGAGGGAATGCCTGGCGAGTGGGATCGGCACACTTTGAACAGGAAGAGACTCCACCTGGTGTAACAGAGGCCCGGTTGCTGCTGCATCAGGGAAACCTGTGTGTCCTCCAGCAAGTTCCAACCTTCTCTGGGCCTAATCGTGCAGCCCAGGGGGAGCCCATTCTGGCCACAACTGAAAGGAAGTGGGGTCATGGCGTTGGGGTCTTAGAAGTTCTCGCACTGTGGCAGAAAGATGGGGAATAGGCTCCGATTTACGGAACCTCTTAGTAAATGCCAAGCATGGTGCCCTACCCACCAAACTGGCCCAACACGCCTATCAGAGAGACCCTGTGGGGGCAGGAGGGGGTAGTGATTAAGAGCACAGGCTCGGGTGTGTGTCCTGCCCTGCCACCCCGAGAAGGGAGAATCCTTCAGTCCAATTCTTCATTCCCACCCCTCCTAGACGCATTTGCTCAGCTAAGCCTCTCTCTCCCATCTGTTTCTGCTGAGCAATCTAACCTCAGATTTACTCCTTTCTTCTCTCATTTCAGCTGCCCCCACTTCTTTGTCTTCCAGCTCCCATTTCCTTCTGACTCACTGTCCCCCACCTACCACCCCCTTTCCACCCCCACACCAGGGCCTCAGCCTCTGTTTCCATTGCCGTTGCCTCCTTCAGTGGAGCTGGCCCCTCTAAGGTTCCCCCTTCCCGCCCAGCACTCAGCACACATTAGCATAAACAAATACCTTCATTTACATAGAATACACAGAGGTTGACATCTGGTCTCCCGACTGTCATGAAAGACTTGAAGAACAGGGAGCTTTTCATCAGGGAAACTTTGTGGGGAAGACACTGCCTGTCTCAGAAGAGCACAGTGACAGTGGAAACAGCAGGGGACCATCTCCCTCCAGGAACTATTTTCTCTGTAACTCAGTTGGACTGAAAATATAGCCCCTCTACTGGACACTGTTGCTGAGTGATAGTCACCCTGAGTGACATGTTTAGGTGATACTCATAGGCGTCAGTTAAGGAGGTTACCTGTTTAAGTGACTTGTGTAGGTGACAGGTATGCAGGTGACATGCTCAGGTGACAGCTCTGTAAAGAAACAGGCTCAGGGGACATGTGTAGCTGGCAGCTACCCAGGCGATGTAATAAGATAATAATGACATGGCTGACACGTAGGTGGAGCCGTTCAGGTAGCCACCACATAGGTGAGATACGCAGATGTGCTTATGTGATAGCGACACAGGTGATGCATTTAGGTAATTGCTACACTGATGACATGCTCAGGTGACAGTAACATAAGCACTATGTTTGGGTGACACGTGTAGTGACACCACACAGGTGGTGTAGAAGACAGCTCGGGGAACACCTGGATTGGTGTTTTCCGAAGAAGGCAGCTTTTCACTTGGAACCATTTCTAAAGCCTCGGATGCTCCTTCTACTGGCTTCCCTAGCTCCACACATGGTTCTGCCCCCACCATTGGTCCAAGTCACACCCCTGATTTCTATATTCCCCACATACAGTCAGTGACCGCCTTCTAAATATATCCTGAACTCCCCACTTCCCCCATCTCCACTGCCACCACCTTTTGTCACCTGGAATGTGGAGGCGGACAGGTAACTGGTTTTCTGCCCCTCCTCATCTCTCTCCTGATCCAGGCTCAAGGTGAACCCAGATTTCTTTACATGCAAATAGCATTAATGGTACTCCCCTACCTAAAGCCCTTCAAAGGCTTCTCTCTGCTCTTCCGCTAAAGACCAGAGCCCTTATCTCGGCCAACAGAGCCCAGCACCGTTGGTTCCGGCCACATCTCCAGCCACATTTCAGCCGCCCTCTTCTTCCAGCTACAATGGCAGTCTTTCCATCCCTCCCATGTGCCGGGTTCCTGTCTTTGAAATAAGCTTTTTATTTTGGAATCATATTTGATTTACAGAGAAGCTGCAGAGAGTAGAGAATTCCTATACATCCTCACCCAATTTCCCCCGTTCTTAACATCTTACGTGACCATGATACAGTCATCAGACTGAGACCCACATTGATACATCACTATTAACCCAACTCCAGACTTTATCTGGATGTCACCAGAGTTTCCACTAATGTCCTTTTTCTGTCCCAGAATCCCACCCAGGATCCCTCACAGGCGCCTTTAGCTAAGTTCCTGTTTTGATTCAGCACTGTATTTCTGGCACTAGTCTTTCCCTGGGACTATTGCATTTTCTTCTGGCTATGACATCCTTCAAGTTACGGGGAATGGTCACTTTCTTAATGACCACCTGGACTAGATGAGTTGGTAGCTTGATGGCACTGATGGCCTGCCTGTCTCTGTGCCTGTGGCCACGTGCCATTACAATTCCTCCCGCCTAGGGGTAGAGCCTATGTCCCCATTCTTGGCCTTGTGATTTGCTTTGATCAACAGTAGTGGTGGGAATGATGGTCTGCCGATTCCAAGCCTAAGTCTCCAAAGAACGCCCGCCCCCCGCCCCCAACACACACACACTTCCTCCCTGCCTCTGATGGAGGATGACAGCATGTGGAGAGGGGCCCCAGCTGGCCCGGTCATTCCAGCCAATGCCACACTCAGAAGCCACACTCAGCCTAGCTAACTCCTAGACTCGTGAGCAATAATACGTGGTGATTGCTTTAAACCATTCAGGTTTGGAAGAGCTTGTTATGCAGCAATAGCTAACTGATACAGCAGGTCTCCTCATACCGGTGTGTTTGTCTACACTGTAATTTAATCACGTATGTGGCGACGCCCGTGTGTCCTCTTCCCCTGACCATGTGCAGTAAGTGCCATGAAGGCGGGGTCTGCACCCGTCTGGTTTACCAGCATATTCCAGGCCTCGCACAGCGCTCGCCATCATGGTAAGGTCATTGATATTTATTAAATGGAGGGGTGGTGGCTGTGGTGTGAGCATGGGGAACCCTGTCTCTCTCTGGGCTGGAAACCAGTTGCAGCCGCCTCCCCACCCCCCAGGCAGATTCTAGCTCTCTGCAGATCCAGTGGCTTCCAGGTCACAGTTTTGATTGGACCAGTCTGCCTTGTAGCGCTTCCTCTGAGCTTGCACCTGCACTGTTATTCTTCTAAAGTGGATTAAGCGGTCCCGAGACCCCCTTTTCCCAGACTTGAGTGGCATTGATCTGCATGCTGAATAGAAGGTCTGTGCAGATCGCAGAGCCCCGAGGGGGCTGGGGTGAGGAGACCCACTCTCATCAGCAATTGGTTGCGATCGATAAACTATTAATAACTGGAGAGGCTTCTGGCAAGATCAGTGTAATGCAGTGTAGTGGCTGGAGCTTACCGACTCCGACAGCGGCTCTGAAGGGCGAGTGTTGTGTTTTTGAAAAACTGGGCAGAAAGATAGAGGGGGCCCCACTGGCTGTCCCCGTGGTCCCTGTGGCTTAGGTGAGGCCATGGATGGGCTGGTCCCTGGAGCTTCTGCCAGGCCTGGGGCCAGGACTGTGGACTGTCCAACCTTTAGCACAAGGATTTAGACCTACTGTGAGCCCCACCCCGTGCTGAGCCTTGGGGAGTCGGAGGTAGAGGGTTTGGCTCCTGCCTCCAGACTTTGCCCAGGCTGTCACCTCTCCTTGGATCACTCTTCCTTTCTTGTGCATGTGGCAAGCCTCTAGCCATCTTTCAAAACCAGCATGCGAGCTCATCAGACAGTAGAGAAGATTACATGAGATAATCAGGGCTTAGCTCAGAGCTGGGGTGGCATGACAGTCCAATGGACTAAAATCACTAGATGCATCACAGTCCATAGGCTCTGCATTCAGATGCTGCCTCTGC